TGGTCCAAATAAAATAACTTTCGCCCCTTTTCGTCGATTCGGCTTTTCGAAGTTGGCACCTGTAGCCACCAGTGCTGGAGTCGAAGGGATGCTGCTGAAGCGAGTTTGAGATGCATGGAATACAGATGAGAACCTTGGTCTCGTCGTCCAGGAACTCCTGCTGGACGCTTTGTGTGATGGTCATTTATATGCGTCAAAGAAGAGCTGTTCCTGTTGCAGCGATGTAGGGGGGGGGGCTGTTTGCACCTCTTTGACGATTTCAAAAGTGGTCGACGGCATCCTGACGAGATCTTGCTTGGAGACTTAAGACCCCCCTCGTCAAGTCGCAGAGGTCAACGCGTCAAATGACCAAGGCATCAAGCATCGCTGCTCAGCATGGATTATTGTTGACTCTTTTCGGTAAGTCTGGAAGTCGAAGTTGGATTTTCATCGAAATATCCAGATTTTCAGGTCTCGGAAAACTCAAAGTTTATATCAACTTCTGTGTAAATCTTGTAAAAGGATTTCACGAAGAGCAAGCCGCAGGGACTTTATACTATTCAATCCAGCTTGCTTCTGTTTTGGAGATTGCAGTATCGACACCGGCGGAGAGTACAATAGAACGATTAACAAATGGATACTGACTGTAGAAATGCCAAGAGCCACACATTGGTGACCGATAGCTTCATTTAGTCATTCAACGCAAAAAAATTACCGTGATGGCCATATCTTCAGGACGAATCCAGCTTTGACACTCTATACGGCTTTTCATTACATTTCCTTGACGAAATGCCTAATAGGTCCACCATCACTCACCAATGGCGCATGACGAGCGCCGAAATAACCTTTTCAAAATATCCAATCTCACCTTCCGACGAAGTTTGGCTGCCTGTCACACACAAATGCCATATTTCGATATAAATTCCAGGTCGTATCATTCAAATTATTCGGTGCAACTAGACCAATTAACAAAAAATGCAACTACTCGTGCGCTACAACCCAGCTTCAGCCCCTACGACTTTTGCTGGTTTTCTTTGTGGAGACTAAGGAGTTTACAAAGCTCGAAGGACTTCTCAAGCTTGTTCGCACAACTGCGATTTTGGCGTCGAAGGATAAGTTTCGAGAGAGAAATATTGAGAAGAAAGCAAAACGGATCGCAGGCTTGCCAGATGTCGAGGCATTTCTTAAGTGGCTAAGCGAGCAACTCAAGAGTAAGTTTAAGTTCCAGATGTCCCGCTTCTACGAACCGGGTCA